AGCCTTTGGGTCAAAACGCCCTTAAAAAAAAGCCATTTTAAAAAAAAAAATTAAAGAAAAATAGAAAAAAAAAAAAAAAAAAAAAAAATTAATAATGTGCTGTTAGCAAATATTACAAATATATTTTAAATTTCTTATTTATCTTGCCACATCTTATTTTCTACTTTTATAATATTAAATTTATTCAATATAAATAATCAAGGAATAAAGCTTTTTAGTATCGTTTCGAAAATTAAACATTACGTTAATGAAATATCACAGGCTTGCATAAATAATATTTTAAAAATTGATCTGCATTATTTGTCACATATATTGAATCACATGTAACACCAAATTTGATCGACCAATAAACAGATTTTTAACCATGCTTGATACGGGTTGATGAAAAGGTTTAGGTTAAGGGTCGTATCACAACATAGCCCAAAAGTTCGGCTCAATTATCGCAACTGCCGCAGCTGCCTCGTTATATATAATAAAATTTCCAAAACTTTTAAATAAAATTATTTTTCACTATATAAAAGAACAAGAATATGTACTTTTATTGAGAAAAAAAATTTTATTTGGAAGATTTGAAAATTTCATTATATATAACGAGGCAGCTGCGGCAGTGATAACCCACCCGGGTTGTGAGATTTACATCACATGGATTTCAATATACTGCCGAAACAATTTATTGATCAACATGAAGTTCAAACATATCCTTTCATATATAAAAATTAGCACGAGTAAATGACCTAGAATTCCAAGGAACTGGTCTATTAATAAAAGATATAAATTAAACTTTATCTCTTTGACGAGTGAATGCATATAAATAAAATTAGATTCCCCGGAATCCTCTTAATTTTGACTTGGTGATGATCTCTAACAGATATGTAAGTTCTTTCAAAGAAGCAGTGTTGTTGCACTAGATACTTATTATCGTTATTTATTATTTTAATATTATGCTTGTTTTGCCATTTTTGGTATATTCTACTTGAATACGTAGAATGAGATTCAGAATTAAGTTTGAAAATCCATTCCGATTAAATTAAAAAGAACATATTAGGATAATTCTAGCAAACATTATTAAAATTTGAATTATATATATTTTAAAAAAATCCCTTTACAATTGGCTACAGTATATTATCTACTTAATAGTAATTTTCCAGATCGACTTTCTTTTTATCTTGACAATTTAATACGACATCCAGCTTTATAAAATAAATATTAAAATGAATAATTTTGTTATTTCCTTCCTGTATTTTCTAGTTTAATAACGCATTAAATCATAACATCAAAAATTTATATAAATAGTAATGACGTTATCTAATATAGGAAAATTCACGTTAATTTCTGTCGTGTTGCAGGCGATAATAGTTACCGCCTTGGAAGCTTCCGTTATTTATTTACATGTCAGTTTTGTTAGTCAATATGGCCTTGATTCAGTAGGTCAAGGAATATCTAAGGTAGACTTAATTTATCATTCAATGTAAGTAAATCACTACCGCTATACTGTGATTTTTTTTAAAAAAAAAGCTAATTCTCTTTGATTACACTTAAGATTTATTCTTTCGTTATTTTTCCAAATAATTTTAGCTGCTGATGCTCTCTGGCATCGCAATATTGTTCAGATAATAGCCCTTGTCATATTCAACCTTCTTTCGTTATCATATGCAGGAATACACGAAGACTACGGAACTAAAAATGCAACATATAACCCAACTAATCCCATTTTTTTACCAAAAGGAGATCCTAATGCGGCCAAAAATTATTACGAACCCATTGTGCGACCAATTGAATACACTATTATTGCTCTAGTATCAAGTTTTTCAATATTTTTGGCA